ACTATAATATAATACATATATAATATTTAAAAAATTTATTAAAAAAAAATTTTGAGTCCACATAAACTGAGTCCAACACAAACTATAATAACATGAAATTAATTTTCTCTTCTTGAGAAAAGAATCTCATAATAAATTTGTTTTATATAAACATAATTATATAAATTATTAGGAAAAAGAAACTACCGCTAAAATTTAAAACATTACTTATCGCATCGTACTCTCGCATGTGCAACGAAATTCGTAAAAATATTGATCTCTTCGGCAGGAGATTACGCGTACGTGGTCCAAAAAAAAGATTCAAACACTGATTTAAAGGAGCATGCACCAGTTTTGTTAGTCCAAAATCGGGGGCGGGTTTATGGGCGAACGCGTACGATAACTAACCGCACCCCTGAGTTATCTCAATTTGGTGTGGAGTAGATGGTGGCTGCGGTTCTGCGTAGCGTGAAACTCTCATCAACCACCATGATTACCACCATAGAGCACGCCTTTCTCGTTCTCTTCCGTCCGCAAACCGCTAACCGGACGCGTAACAACGCGCGCTGTTCTTTTAACTCTAATTTTCGACTCTGATCTGAACACCGAAACATGCGAGTGGCATCCAACATCGGCGTGCCCTCAAATATTTATTGTATAGAATGAAAATGGTTAACTAGACTAGAATTAACATTTGCCTAATAAAGCTGTTAAGATACCAGTTTTGTCTCAATCAAGTCTTGAATTAAAAGCAGTCAAAAATTAAAGATTATTTAAAGTTAAATTCTTTACATGTAAAATAATAATCGTATACGTCATGCTTTTCAATTAATTCAAAAGTGAAATCCGCTAGAACTTTTATTTCCACGTTCTCTATGTTTCGATTCTTTTCCTTGATGTAACAATGTAGACGTGAGAAACGGCATTTTTAGATTAATCTTTACTTTAAATATGAATATAAAACGTTTTGTCTTTGTCAAAAAAACGCATCTATCAAACGCAATTTTATTATACATCATGCCGTAACACGAACCTGCACTTTGAGTTAGTATAAATTTTTATCAACTCCACGTTTTGTGCGGAAAGATAATACAGGCACGACGAAACATTTTGTTCCAAATATTGTGAAAAATAACAGTTTCATATTACGTCAGGAAATCCTCAATCCCAAAAATTTAAATTTCGATAAAATTCTGCACATGTTCATACATATATATGCAGAATAGTTTAATAGATAAACCGTAAAACGTTTCAACAACGTATAAAAAAATATCACTACACCCCCTCCCCCTCCCCATCAAATAGATCTCCGTAAAATCGATTTTATTATTCACTAGATAACTAATCGAGACGCGAACTCGATTCTCCGAATCATCGAACAAAAAGAAAAAAAAAAGTGAGAATTGAGATCTTTGGGGAAAAGGAAAGCAAAATAACAGTAAGTAGAAAAGAGAGCGCGAGGATTCAGAATGGCAAGGGAATTCCGAGGAAGCGGAATCATTAATACACTTTAATGTACGTGCGTTCCTCTGATTCCTTGGTCCGAATGGACTCGACCCCGTTAATTTTTAAGAGGCGCCCCATCGCCGCGAGCCATAGGGGAGAGGGGGAGAGAGGAAACGGATTGCAGGAAGGGTGTTGCTTCTGGCTCGGGCGTTATTTCCACGCGTTGCCAGCGTCGTAATTTTATCGATCGATTATACGCGACGAGATGCGTTTCAAGTATCGGCGAAAATGTACTTCGCTACGTAATGCCCGTAATCACTACGGATGCCCGGAAGTTTATCATCGTTAGGAGATTTGCTGAGAGTGCGGTATAACACTGATTTCCATTTAGATACGACAGCAGATCCATTGTTACTAACTCGCGCAGTCATTTGCGCTTTCTGCACTTAAGTAAGGCGTGTGTAGCGAGCGAGAAAAGAGGTAAGTCTTATTCCCATGTAATTTTAATGTGGTGTAATATGACACGGCGTGAAATGTGTGTTACGGGTTATCATTATTGGCTATCGAATAAATGCGTTTAATAATTTTCAAGAAAATGCCATCCTTTGGACGGTACTCGCCGCAGGTCGGCCGCCGCCTCCATGCGACATCAAAACAAAATGTGACAGAACCGCAGTGTCAGCAACTCTTACCACAGATCTCGGATGACGTCACGGAGCACAGCGATTCTATATTTCTAATGGTGGGAATATACGAAATCTGAGCCAGATCATGCCACCATATGTTATGCATCGAGCAAAATTATATAAAGGATGTAAAAGCAAATATATTCAATTTTATCTCGATATTAAATTAACAGAGCTATTCAACAGAGCTTAACTTGTTCTGAATTCGACTAAATGCATCGACGAATAATGGTAATTAAAAGCCGTCATATAGAAATTTTATCGTAATGTACAACGTTTTACAAAAGCTTCGACTATTATAATGTCTAGCATAAATTGTCAAATAACACAAGGACTTATTGAACATCTAATTGCCAAACCATTTATATATACTGTTATATCAATTTGCACAAAATTGCCTTTAATATGCAGCAATACACGTTAACTCATTCAATCAAATTAATGATTATTGTGTATGTCATTTTTTATTAAAAGTGTGCCATTAAATTTATTAAAACATTTATTTAAAAAATAACTGAATCACAAAAGAGATAATTTCACTTTGTATAAAATAATACGTATCGAAAATAATTTAAGGTTCTAAACTTTGGAAAATGAGTATGAATGTTGCTTTTTGATACATTGCAAAGATCTTATTTGCCGCAATTACTCGCCGAATATTTAGCTATTACTATAAAATAATTATTGAGAATTTCATTAAAATTACGAATGTGTTTTATATATTTCTCTCGTACATTCGATAAATCAATTTTTAATCCAAATCTATGCTATATTTTAAGAGAAATTTAAACTCAAATATAAAACAAAAGCTTTAAAAGGAAAATAGTAATATTTGAATGTAAAATATATATATATATTAAAAAAACATTTTATATAATAATAACGAGATATCTACAAATGTAAATGCTAGATTTTTTCAACTATAAAAAAAGAACATTTTTATTTGTTTAATATTTTATATAATAAAATTCATCTAGCTCAAAAAATGTTTTACAGATTATTAGTATTACAAATATTAAAATAAAAATTTTTTAACAAAAGAAAAATGTTTTATAAAAAAATAATATATAATAATCAAAAGTAGGACGAACAAAAACCTGCTGTAACGATATCAGATGCCTAAACGTGATATATATGTAGAATTACCTAATTTCAGCAAAAAATCATACATTATGTCTTCTAATAAAACGCTATAGCATTCTAATGGATCTATGGGTTCTGGAACCCATAAAAACCTAATATACCACGAAAAATGAGAAAAACGGGACTTTCTTAATGAATGACCTAATATTCCATGGGCTGTTTTCAGCGTCGAAGCGAGTTCAAGTAAAAATGCGACAATTTCGGGCGTTTAATTTCGATCTCTCCCGCTGGAAAATCCTCGCCGGATTTTCATGCCGGTCGGAATTACTTGCGCGTCCGCGAAGAGGGCTGTTAACGTGGCGCTTGCGGGATTTGTGACGTTTTCGAGCAAAAAGAATTAAGCGATAGTGAGAAGATAGTGGCCGCGCGCGTAAATCCATTAAAACCCGTCTTTTGTTCCCGACCTGACGAAAGGATTTATAGGCCGGCAGCGGTGTCGGCGGCCGTGCCGTAACAAAGACAAATGAATCCGCGAATGAAGTAGAATGGCCAGCGCCACCTCAAATATAAAATTAGTTTGAACTTCATGCCTCAGCGGTCACGCGCGTCATTCATCGCGCGCGTGAAAAAAAAAAGGGGCGATATAAATATTCGTCGAACACGGGTGTATCCGCTTTTGCGCACTCCCGCGTCGCGTGAATCATTTATTATCCTCTTTTGATGTTACATAATACGACTCGCGGGAACGCGAGCGGGGAGCGGGGAGAAGAGAAAATCCGACGGCCTGACATACGTTCGTGATATAATTTGACGTGATATAATTTGACGTTCCCGTTGCCGCGGAAAGACCCGAGCGACTTTTGTCTCACGCGAGATTTATGATATATGATAATTTTATCGCACGGCAAAACCGGAAAATTGCACGCATGTCGAAACAGCGACGAGCACAAAAACGTTCTACTGGGGCGGCGCTCGGAGAAAGATTTTGCGCGAAACAAACGCGAACAATGACACGGACATTAACATATCGACAAACGAGTTTTAATATCGTTGGAATCTCATTTCAGCGACATTTCATATTTTTACATCGTCAAGTTATCACTCGTTAATTAGAAAACGTTGTCATTAATATTATTATTAATTCAAAAAAGCAAATTGCATACAAATTGCAGGCTGCATTAAATTCCTCCTCTGTAAAAATGTATATTATCTAAAACGTAGGATCGAATAGTGGAATCAAACTCTTGGTAATCCCCTTTTGTTTTTATCGAACAGCAAGAGAGAATCAATCACAGAAATATTTCATTATTCGCAGCGCTAAAACCATCCATTTAATATGCGATGTTAAAAATTGTTATGCCATAAATAATCCGTAAAAACTAATGCGTATTGTTTCTGTGGATTAAAAAATGGGCGATTTATGCCTCCCGTTTCTACGTTTATACAATTTCATTTCGCAGTTTGACGTTTAATCTGCATTTTTCCGATGTAAACTTCATTCCACGTAGGAAATGAATCCGCCTACAGGAGTAACACGCAACGTCCGTTAAATGAGCTTCCTTTACGCAACCAATGTAAACCACGCACGTTACCTACGCAATCCGTAATTTGAGTAATAGGCTAATTAAAAGCCGTGGAAAAAGTCAAAGGAGAGCTTATCCCCGAAACTGGATTTGTGAAAAATAAAATTGACGGCGCTTTATTCTCGTCTGCTCGTCTCCTCTCTTCGGCAGTTTTTTTTTCTCGAAGATACGCACGAGGATAATTTACGTCGTGCGAACGAACAGTGACGCAGTCGGTACTTACCGCTGATCCACGTGCCGTTGAAGCTCTTGGGGGATAACGAACCGGAGAGCCACTCCTCCAGGGAAATGCCGGGTGCGCCGTTCCTTTTGGACGCGGTGGAATTCGGACTGCCGGTCAAGAGGATCGCCGCCGCGATCACCAGAGCCAGCACAATTATAATGACGATGCTGCAGGCCAGCAAACGCCACCGGTATCGCTGCTTGTTCTTCGTCATGAGGTCCTGCAAATAGCATAAGGATCCAAACCGTTAAATACGCCAATATGATATGTGATAGAAAATAAATTTGGTATTTGATTTGGAAATTGGTATTTGGAATTGAAACGTAACTTAATTTGGATGAATTGGTATACAATCTGCTATAATCATTGCGATATCTTTTATTTTCATAATTGATACACATATTTTTATCTTCAAACACGTGAAAAAAATTATAAATTATTATATAATCAATGAAAGATCTTTGAGTAAGATTTTTATTTCATTCTACTTGCAGCGTGAATTAAATAAAATTTTATAATAGATTCGGATAATTGATAAATAATCACGTACTTATATAATTAACATCAAGCATATAAATTAAAAATAATATCATAATCATTTACTATTTAGCAAATTGCCAGAATTCATATTATAAACATTTAGATTTATCAACCGCACATATGAATATATTATATATATTTATATATTTGTTAACTACTATAATATTTATTAACTACTTAACTATTTTATTCACGGCCATTATATAAGCGCATCTGGAAAATGTTCGAATATATTTCACTCCAGTTATATATATTTCACTCTGACTATGTTGGACTGTTTGATTTATATCAACATTTGTTTGTCCAACATTTTAATTAAAATGTTGCATACGTTGCATCACTGGGAAATGAAGTACATTTTAGAAAAGTTTTGTAATATCGTCGAAATATATATTCCCTGCGACTGTATGTGCGCTTGCAATGTCTGTAATCGAAATAATTAAAATATTTCAATATTGATAACAGTCAAGTCCATTCACACAAATTCCAGCTTGCATGTAATACGCGTGAAAATAAAATGTTCTCTATCATATTGATTTTATTCCTTCCGAACATTTATACTCAACTCGTTAAAAATTCTATTCCTTTTTTTTTTCGCATATCTGCATGTGCCAATGAACGTGTTGAATGAAAAGACATGTTAATTATAAAATCTTATAACAAATAATTCGAATTGCGCGAGCATAAAAAAATTCGAAGAGTGCGACAAGAATTCGACCCTTGCGATCTTTTCAAAAGATGGATATAAAACCCAATTTTGAAATCGATCCAATTCTGAAATGACTAATGATAATTCGCATCTCATAATCGCGTGTAAATGATCCGCGTTAAGTGGCACGTGTCAAATATGCCGGTTAGAATCCCGTATATTCGGGGGGGGGAGGGAGAGAAAAGCCATCGTCGCTCCTCCGGAATGACATTCCCGAGCGCGGCGGGCGAGAGATACGGCTTTACCGCGATCGCGATATGAGAAATAGACTAGAAGAGAATGAAAAAGAGAGGGGCGGGGGGCAGTCTCCACGTAAGCCGGTCTTATCGAGAATTGGATTTCGTATTTCCCGAAAAATAAAAGCTGGCGCCGTCGTCGCCGTCGCCGCCGTAGTCGGCGAAACGGCACCAATCGGTGGCACCAATCGGCAACGCGCGCAATCCCATATTTATAAATCTTCTTTATCAAAATTAAATGTGATCAGCGCGGGCAGCCAAACGTTAGCGAGTCAAGGCGTCGACGTTGCGATGGAGCTTTATCTATCCCAAGTCCGTCGACGACGGGAGTGAGTCCGCAATTGTTGGAAAAAATTAATAATCGCAAGCTAATCAACGCCCCAATAATCAAATATGAGACGCCTGAAAATTTTTATGAAGAAAGTATCGCGTATCGTGTATTTCCAGTTCTAATTATTATTATTATAAATTATATACAAAGCAAAATAAAATGCTGGCGGTGAAATAGATCGTATTTGTAATATAATGGCAACGTGAAATTACATTGGAAATATATAATATTTCACTATTAATCTAGATGAATACGTACGCGTCTTCGAAATATTATACCTTTCATATGGTCAATATCGGCAAATGCGCAACGATGGACCAAGCGATTTTTCCTTCGTCTGATATTTTTCTTTTTTTTTTTTTTATTTTTCTCGATTTCAAGCTTTCGCAAGTGCGCATGGCGTGATTTATGAGCAAGCGCCTTGACGGCACCGGATACGCTTTTCCTATACAGAGTGGGAAAACGATTTACGGTTCGGCGTTTAACTCACTGTCGCGTTAAAGAACGCTTTCCATTTATTATGCGTCGATGAAACGCGGCTTCCCCGACGTCGACAAGAACCCGTCGGAAACGACGTGATGAAACCTCAACGAAAACGAATCATATGGAACGCACGTTGAATTTCAACAAAGATTGAAAATTGATGGGAAATAAATTCCCCGATCGCTACGCTTAAATTTTAAGTGAACTTTAATTAAAGAATAAAAACTAGCAATCACCAATTATCAAGTTAAAATTAATTCTACAAATAAAAAAAATATAATAAATATAAAAAATATAATAAACATAATGAAATATATGTAAATATAAATAAAAAAATATTTATATAAAAGTCTCTATGTTAGATAATTATTAGATAATCATGAACAATGTGGATTTACATGTTATACAGAGGGCGAGAGAGAGAGAGAGAGAGAGAGAGAGAGAGAGAGAGAAGAAGAGAGAATA